GTTTTGTATTCATATATGTGTGTGCGTGTTGTGTGTGCGTGTTGTGTGTGCGTGTTTGTGTGGGTTTGTATGAATGTGTATGTTCATTTATATAGGTAGTGGACCGAATAATAGGAGAAGAACGTAGAGATGTTCTCCGTTACAGTATTCGCTCTGTTTTTTCTAGACTCTGGTCGGTTTGTTTATTCTTAATAGATGCACTGATTCCTTAGAATCTTTGAGGCTGAGTGGCTGGTATATTGTGAAGTGTAATATATTGTAAATTGTAATATTTTCTGAAGTGTTTTTTTTTCTTGGATTCCATTCCAGATTCGCAGAGTTGCAGCGAGATCGCCAACGTGCGCCTAGGTTAGCAATCAGCGATGACGACGATTCAATGAGTGAAGCCGAGGATGTACGGCCTACGCTTATGAGCAAACCTAGAATGGCCCAGGCACCACAGAGACAAAGACAGGTAGGCATAAGTAGATATATATAAATATATATATATACATATATATATGTTTATGTTTATGTTTATGTTTATGTTCACGTATTGTATACTCATGTGCATGTGCATGTGTATATTTGTGTAATATTCATTGTACAAGCCGGAACTGGCTCAGCTATTACAGAGATGAAGGCAGGTAGGTATTTGTAAATGCATATATCTGACGATATGCAATGGAGATATGCGGTGAGTTGAAATGCACTTATTACTGACTGCTGGGCAAGCGCACGCTGGTACGAGCACAATATTATTCGAAAGAATGCATTTGTGTGTGTATGTACCTTTGTGTACGCATGTAAACCTATGCAGAACCACAGAAGGCGCATATATCCAAGCATGTTCAGTATATGAAATGTAAGCAAACATAGATATCAATACTGGCAAAAGAGTACATGAATGACTTCGGTCATCTGTGAATCTCGCTCAGACCCGACCCAATTCAGAGAAACCGGCTAGGAATGGTTCTGTATATACACTCTAGAGGTATCCCGTAGGCCTCACATTATGCACGCATATGTGCAGAAACAAGCTTGCCTGTACCATAGTAGGTACACAGTATCGGCATAATTCAAATACATACACACGTCTGTCAAGACGTTTATGTCGCGGAACCTCTCCTATCGCCAAACGTCTTCTCATCTCTTGTGATGTGTGGCATTTGATAGGATCACAATCCCCCGCGGCGAGCCCAGCCCACAGAACGCCGACGGACCGACGACGATCGCCACAGCGATAGACACAAGGACCGGTCACTCACGCCCGAATACATCGACCACGAACCACCACAACACCGGCAACCGTCGAACGCCATACCACGGGCACGCACACAGGCACAGGCGCAGCCACAGGTACACGTACTGTTTTGTATGCGAGGGTGTTGGTTGTGTTCCAGTCCGTGTGTGTACACATGGCACATGGAGGTGTTTCTGTTCATATATCGGTGTGGGTATAGGTGAGTGGACGGAGTGTAGTGGAGTGGAGAGCTGGTGCGGTATCCGTCGTGCATAAAAGCTGAAACATACTTGTATAATATACATATATGTATATATATATGTGTGCGTTTGTGTGTGTGTGGGTCTATCTATGTATCCATGTATCTATGCATATATATATATACATATATATATGTATATATATATATAATGTGTGTGTGTGTGTGTGTAGATATATCTATATATATATATATGTGTGGGTATATACATGTATATATATATGTACACTTAATAAACATAAATCTTATACTTGTACTGCAGGGAAGTGGCCGTGGTAATGTGAAGCAAACGCGAGGTATGCCAGGCGATCACGACACGAGACATTCGAGGGACAACAAACAGCTAAGCATGCGAGAAAAGCGTGAGAAAGAGCGAGAGATGAACAGAGAGCGCCGACGTGTTGGTGCAGCTAATGTGGGTGACCGGGGGAGAGTGTTCTTGCAGCAGATGGAAAGCCAGTTCCGCAGTAGCCGGAATATGGTAAATAGAGGCGTAAGTACATGCCTACCCACCACATGTACATTGTGCGTGGCTATGTGTATGCGTTTGTTGACTTCAGGAGCATACAACCCCGTTCGTTGTGTACATTCGGTGTTGAACAGATTGTGGCCAGTTAGCAGCTTATCGCGATCATTGAGTTGCTCTGTATAGCTTTTGTTCGAGGGCAATCTTCTCATGGAGGTACACAAACTTGCACCCTGTGGATGGTCTTACCCCTACAACCCTATACCCTATTGCTTCGCATCCTGAACTCCCATTGGAGATAACGGCTGGGTCTGATATGCTGGTTCTATCGGGTCCGTGGATATGGATACCTACTCTCATACTCTCATATCCCATGTCTTGCTTGCAGGATCGAGGAAGCTTCTCTCCCAGAGCCCGCTCGCCGGAGCGCGCGCGGGGACGCACAGTACACGAAGAACGCGAATTTCAGCGCGAGATGGCCAGACAGAAAAAGCTGAGTGAAGAAATGAAGCACATGGCCACCATGAGTGGAAAGGGCGCGAATTCCCGCGTGACAAAGGTATGTGTACGTGGGTGTGTCTGTGGATATGTCAACATATGGGTATGTGTGTATACGCCGGTATTCGCGTATGTTTCAGTGTAAAAATTTGAAAGTGTCAGATATACATATATTTATGCCAGTGTGTGTGTCAGTGTATGAGTATGCACGTATTGATATTGTACGTATACTCGCCTGTGTATGTGTCTGTGTGAGGTACGCCTGTGTATGTATATCATGTATCTACGTCAGTATGAATTGGTGTCTGCGTGATTTTGTTCTATACTCCGGTGTACACCTGAACCGCATTTGCGATGGTGTATTTGATTGCTTCTGTGTTTCTCGTCGGACACACTACTGGGTACCAACGGAGCACCACTAACCGCTACCTAGCAACCACAGCCTGAAAACCCCTGGTTTCTCACAGTGTCAAATACATTGTAACACCTGTATAGCCTGCGCAGAAGCAAGGCGCGATTGCCCGCCTGCAAGCCGCCAACAGCAACAAGAATCTGCCCACGAATCTGAAGAAGCAAATACCCGCGCCAGAGGTCAAGGGCCTTGCCGGCCGCATCCAACGTCAGCCACTTTCTACTCGGTATGACAGTAGAGAGACCTCGATGTTCATATGTATTTGTATTTATATATATCTATATCTATATCTATATCTATATATATATATATATATATATCTATATAATAATATATAATAATATATATATATATATATATACATGTGTGTGTGTGTATGTATATGTATATGTATATATATATATTTTATATGTTATTTGTTATTTGTTATTCATTATATTATATTATATATATATATATATATATATATCTATAGCAGGTGCATATGTATATTGGGACGGTGTCTTCCTCTTTCTCATTGGCTTCATTTAACCTATCTTCTATCTACAGACTCGGCCCCCGACCTGAAATCAAGCGCCTGGCCCAGGCAGCAGCCGCGGGTAAGGCGGTGCTACAGGCACGTACAGCCAAACCACTCGCACAGCAGCAGCCACGTACAGCTATTGCCCCCAAGAATGTGAAGCAGAAACCTGCGCCAAAGGCTCCTGTGGCGAATACAAGGTGTGTTAAGTGATGGATGGGGTGTTTTGATTAGACGTATGGTCGTGTCTGTGCTTGTGAATACAAGGTGTGTTAAGTGATGGATGGGATGTTTTGTACGTTATATGGTACGCTGTTCGCGCGTGTGCATGACCAGGTGTTATGATTATACGTATGGTCGTGTCTGTGCTTGTGAATACAAGGTGTGTTAAGTGATGGATGAGGTGTATTGTACGTTATATCGTACACTGTACGCGCGTGTGCATGACCAAGTGTTATGATTAGACGTATGGTCGTGTCTGTGTTTGCGTCCGCGAGGGTATGTACCGATGGCCAACGTCAAATAGTGCCGTTGGATTGAACCTTGTAACCCTACAACCCCTGTAACCCAGTAGACTGTAGGGCTCGTAGGCAAACTGCGGCATCCATCGACTAGACATAGTCTGAATGCTTTATTGTTATTTATATATTCATTGTGGACTGTCATTTCAGTGACAGTTCTGTGCTGAGTTGTTGAACCACTACCTAACTGCTTGTCTGTATTTATGTAGAGAAGTCCAGTCTCCTTTGCCTATTGAAAGGAAAAAGCTATCCAACCGAATGTACCACTGGCTTAATGCTTGTTTGTATTTATGATGAAGTTTAGCCATTCACAAGTGGAGTCTCCTTTGCCTATTACAAAGAAAAATCTATCCAACCGAACGTACCACTAGCTTATTGCTTGTTTGTATTTATGAAGAAGTTCAGCCATTCACGAGTGGTGTTCTCTATGCCTCTTACAGGGAGAAAACTGTCAAACCGAATCTGTCTAAGGCCGAACTGGACGCGGAGATGGACAAGTTCATGGCCACCGCCAAGTTAGGTAACACCGAAGTGGTTTGGGATCTCTAGATGTGCCAAAACGGCGGCATAATCCGATTTACTCGGCGTAATCCGATTCAAATTGGCGCGGGCGAGCTATCGAACGGATACATTGCGTAGGTTTAGCCGAGCCGGGTACTGCGGAAGACTTATTGCGAAGACGAGATAGATATACGTTTCGAATACAATACGGATACGGGTGGTATACGTTTGGCTGGTATTGTGTGGGCCCAAGAGACGGCCCCAACATATACTCACAGCTACACGGCACCGACGGCAACTGGTGCGAAGCTTGACTGCCATTGTTCTCCACTATTTAGTGACTTCGCTGTAGGGGCCAGCTGTCCTGGGCCTGGCATTTAGGGCCGGAAATGCCCTGGAAAGTGCCGCGCAGAGAATTATCCACTTCCCCCGACGAATTATTTTTAGGATGCTCATCTCATAAACGATAGATTCCGTGGTAGCACCAGTAATGTGGCAACCTCCTAGCATTCCGGCACTGTACACTTACATAAATTCTCAAAACTTACAAACACGAATTTATTTTTAACTCAATTTACAAAACCTATACTCAAAAGCTTGCACGTCTTTGACTTAATTTCCAAAACCTACAAACACGCATTTACGCCTTAACTCAATTTAAAAAAGCTATATATACGCACTGTTCTATCGTCGTCGTGCCTTCATTTTGCTGTTTACATATTTCAATCCATAGTTAGAGTGCCTAGTAATTACTGTACCTTTGATCCTACTGTATTTAATTCAGCTGGTTTTCCTGTTTATATAATTCAAACCAGGGTTGGCGTGTCTAGTCATTACTGCACCTTTGATCCTACTGTATTTAATTCAGGTGGTTGTCCTGTGTATACAATTCAATCCAGAGTTGACGTGTCTAGTATTTACTGTACCTTTTGTCCTACTGTATTTAATTCAGGTGGTTGTCCTATTTTTACTATTCAATCCAGAGTTGGCGTGTCTAGTAATTACTGTACCTTGGTCCTACTGTATCTAATTCAGGTGGTTATCCTGTTTATACAATTCAATCCAGAGTTGGCGTGTGTAGTAATTACTGTACCTTTGATCCTACTGTATTTAATTCAGCTGGTTTTCCTGTTTATATAATTCAATCCAGAGTTGACGTGACTAGTAGTTACTGTACCTTTGATCCTACTGTATTTAGTTCAGGTGGTTTTCCTGTTTGTATAATTCAATCCAGAGTTGGCGTGTCTAGTAATTACTGTACCTTTGGTCCTACTGTATTTAATTCAATCCAGAGTTGGCGTGTCTAGTAATTACTGTACCTTTGGTCCTACTGTATTTAATTCAGGTGGTTTTCCTATTTGTATACTTCTATTCTCTCAAGCGCTGATTGCCTTGTCCTCGGGGTGAGTAGTCCACTGACTTCACATCTGCCAGCCGAACCCTAAGCTCATTACGTTATGGGGGTACGGAATAGAAATTTAACGTATACGCATATTTATTCAATTTTAGAACGTGATAACGGTTATGATGTGATCAGAAGAGCCAAACTATGTGTTTTTGGGCCAAACCTCTCCTGTTTAATCTCGTGGATGTTACGATGGCGGTCAGTGTACAGTGACTGGTAAAGCTGTTTCGTTGTTCAGCTAGCGCACATGTGATAGTTCAGAGATAGTGCGATCTCTCACTGCGGTGAGAGCCGTTGGCTGGTGGTTCTACACGATGTGCTTATTATGGCGTTTCCCCGTGTGTTGTCAACCGTAAGTTCACTGAGACGAACTTCCTGAGTGTATGGACTCTCATAGACCACAAAGCCACACTGTGGCATGTCGAGTCACTAGGCATCTCACTTGTACGCCCTCGATTGCGAAGCACTACACTACTCCGAGGGCTCTTGGGAATGGCCTGTGCACGGACTATTGCACCACAAGGAGTACCATGCTTGCCATGAAACTATAATAACATACGGTGCATCTACCTTTCAGTTACTACCACTTTGATATCATCTCCCACACTATACTGTACCTTATGATGGTTTAGCGAATGGCGCACGTTTCACTACCCTTTCCATCACCAGCCGCACAGTCTACCCAGTACAACACACTTACTACGTGGGACGTATACATCGCAGTGTTGTTTCTATCGCTATTTGTTGTGCTACACCCACACTGTCCCTAGCCGTTGATTGCTACACCATACGTTTGCCCCAGACACTGCCCCACATCCGAGACTATTTCGCATACTTGCAAGGTGGATACGTCAACAGGGTACACGTTAATGCCCGGTCCTGCACAAGCCCAGTCCCTGTCCGTACAGGCCCCTTTCCTGTCCGTACAGGCCTCGTCCCTGTCCGTACAGGTTGCTACACAACCATCACCGTCACGTGCAGCGGTGGGGTTTGTTGTGCTGGTGGCGGCAGTTGGGTGATCTAGATCCAACGCTTCGTACTGACTCTTCAGTATATCGGAATGTGCGAAATGGCCCTGTCGCGCGACCAGCCGGTCCCAAATTACAGAGTAGGGTGCGTGGAGGTGCACAAATAAGGTGTCGGCTGCACCTGTTTGCAAGGTTTCGCGGTAGCTGCGCTTGAGGGCTGAGCAGGCTACGACCAAGTAGTGTGTAGGGGTATTCTTGCTGTGTGCTTGAAGCAACCTTTGCAGCTTTACACATCATGAAACATGAGGGGGACCAGATTGGGAGAGAGCGTATGAGCCACGACCCGAAATACTTGGCAAAGCCACAATTCAATACAAATATCACAGCTACACCAAAGGAGGGAAGCATCCCGCACGGCCCAAGATGATGCCAGGCAGGGCCACAGATGTCCCGATATATCAGGACTGAAATCGTGCTGTAATTTGCACTCTACTAGACATAATCGTACTCGCAGGATATATAATTGCGGATACAGAAATAAACAATAAACAAAACAGAGAAGCACATACTGTGTGTAGCCAGGGTACTCTGTCATTGTCGGTCAAAGGTGTACCTCTGGACATTAAATCGATGTTACACTGTGGATGGTAGTCATCCGCATCGATAAACTCGCCAGACAACACAGTCGCCAATGCTGCACCTGTTTTGTCAATCAGGGTGTAAAATGTTCTCGGTTCGAGTAGCAGTCGACACAACATAAAAGGTTATTGGACTTCCTGGACTTTATGTACATACTGCGCTAAACAACAGGTAAACTTAATAGTGGATACTGATATCGATTTCACAAATGGTAGATTTATTAAATTAAATATGTGAAATATCAAATATTTATATATTCAACCCAAATAGAACACATACTACGCATTTCTGATATTCGACAATTGAATATACGAAATACGAGGATCATCATTATATATACACATATGCGTTGATATATATATATATATATATATATATATATATATATATATATATATATATGTGTGTGTGTGTGTGTGTGTGTGTGTGGGTACATGGTACAAGTGTATGTCTCTGTGTGTGTCTGTGTGAGTGTTTGCACGTGTGTGTGTGTGTGCGTATATATATATATATATATATATATATATACATTGTGTGTGTGTGTGTGTGTATATATATATATATATATATATATATATATATATATATATATACACATATATATATATACACACATATACATATATATATATATATATATATATATATATATATATATATATATATAGTATATATATATACATATATATATATATATATATATATCATCATATGTATATATATAACATATGCCAGTGTATATATATATATATATATATATATATATATATATATATATATATATATATATATATATATATATATATATATATATATATATATATATATATATATATATATATATATATATATATATAGTATAATTATATATATATATATTTGTGTGTCTGTGTGTGTATGTAAGTTAAACACATGCATCTACTTTGTTGTTGTACCAGTGATCAGTACCTAGCACATACCAACGGAGGATTTCCCGCAGCCCGATACGCCCATAACAACTATCTGTGGCATACTCTCGTTCACTTTCTGTCAGCTCACTGTGCAGTCTGATTTTCTAAGTCAATACACGATATCTGTCTCCCAGTATGTATGTGCGTGTAAAAAAATTAATCAAAAGTTTAAATGTAAAGCGATGTTCCGTATTCTCTTATTTGGTAGGCACGGACGACACTATATCAATCGATGAATACATACATACCAATAATGTCATGGCATTTACGGCTAAATACACTTGAATACACTTGATGCATAACCCCTCTGGAAACAGTCGAGGTGGGTAAAGCATCATGAACACATAAATGCACAAATACTAAATGTAAATATATGCCATATAGTCTCTATACAAGTAGTCTATGGTCTCTATACAAGGTAGTATATGGTCCCTATACAAGTAGTCTATGGTCTTTATACAAGTAATCTATGGTCTCTATACAAGGTAGTATACGGTCTCTATAACAGTAGTATATTAGTATATGGTCTCTATACAAGTAGTATACCTCTATACAAGAGTATAACATATATATATCATCACTGTGAAGAATGAATTCGACTGAAAGCGACAATACTTCCAAGTTCTGATTGGCGTTGGAAAGTGGAATTGATCATTTTAATTAGCCTTCTATGCAGGGCACAACCCGAAATTTGCAAGAAGGAATGTAATCAATATATGAGAATTGAGCGAGAGGTAGGCATATCTCAGACCTGGGCTCGGGTGTGTGCTTGGGTCTCTTGACGCTCAAGAGCGGTCTTAGATCTCTTGTCTGTGCTGTAACAATATTTCTTATCGAATCATAGCATCTTGAATGATACTTTCAAATAGTAATAAAAACTATCAGTCTAGTAGATTGTTGTCGATGATTGCGCAGTGTATGCGTGATGAAGTTCATTAAAGTCCAATTTGCACTATTAATAGCTTTTGTATTTTA